GCCACTATGATAGTGTTCCCCACATGGCCAACCACTATCTCAATTTTCTTTAGTTTGGCTTTATTTTTTTTTTTTAAGATGTTATTTATTTATTTGAGAGAGAGAGAGAATGAGCAGGGGAAAGGGCAGAGGGAGAAGCAGACTGCCCCCTAAGCAGGGGGCCCAAAACAGGGGTGGACCGCAGGACCCTGAGATCATGACCTGAGCTAAAGGCAGACGCTTAATCAACCGAGCCACCGAGGCGCCCCTAGTTTGGCTTTATATTTGAAATTTCAAAGATAAAATTCCAATTTTTCAATTGTCATCTATTTGTAAAAGTATGTGAATGTGAACAATACTCATTTAAAGGTAGTATCTGTCACCCATAGGAAATTGGAAAGCCAGAGAGGCCTAAATCAGTTAATGATAATTCTAATGATAATTAGATAATGATAATTGAAAGCCACTCTAACAAATATTTGAGAGAATGTAATATAATTTAGCTCAATTTGGGCTCTTAAAAAAAAAGGCCCCTCAAAAAATTATTTTTGAATCATGCTCACTTTTTTTGTATATTTTTATAACCTTGGTTCTGTTGGCATTGCTACCTTATTAAACAAAGGTGTTATATATAATACAAGTGATAAGTAATTATGTTCATAGGGAACCCTAATTCAAAGTATCAATGACTATACATAATATCAAGCTAGATTAAAATTAGGTTTTACTAAATTGTAAGATCCAATTTTCAGTAGACCATTTGACTATACTGATTATTCTTAAAATTTTCTGACTTGTGTTTATTATCTTAGCACCAACCAGTTGGAAATTTAACTTTAAAATGTATTAAGAGGATTAGAGCTTGAGAAATGAAATATGTACTTCCATGAAATGCTAACTCTATTTGAATGAAAAATAAATAAATGGATTTGTACCTCTTAATCCCCTTTATCCATTAAGAGGTATAAACTTCCAGTTGTAAAATAAGTCACAGGGACGAAAAGTAGAGCATAGGAAATAGTCAATAATATTGTAATAACTTTGTATGGTGACAGATGGTAACTATACTTATCATGGTGAGTATATCATAATGTATATAATTGTTGAATCACTATGTTGTACAACTGAAACTAGTATAATGTATGTCAGCTCTATTTCAATTAAAATTTTAAAAAATGGCTTTAACCTCTGCTTTGTTTTATGTTACACAGTTTTATATTTTGCGTAAGCAAGGGCATTTCATAAATTCCATGCAAAATATTATCAAATATCTTCCTGAAGACAAAAATCAAATACAAATACAAATGAAAGTTGAAAATAACTAATATATTTTAATAAAATTATCCATTATAAACTTCTTTGATTTATATTCAGCTTTTTTGGTTATAAAAAGAAATAATAGTACTATTATACTTATAATAGTACTTTGGTTATAAAAAGAAATAATAGTACTATTTCCACTGAGGGTTGATATAACTATATAAGAAAACAGTATTTTTCTTTAGGAAACGAAGTATACAGAAGATAGGTGTCACTCATTAATTCAATAAATATTTGCATACCTCACAGGTATTGGGCACTGCATGGGCTGCTGGGAATACAGTGACCTCATAGGGCTTTCTTAAATCATTATGGCATGTATATAAAGTGTAACTATTTATACATTGATATTTTTCAACACACTTATCATGTCTTAGCTATAGATTTCTGATTTATGCCTATAAATCTCAAAATGTTAATATTTTGCAGTGTATAAAATTTTTTAAATTTAAGTCCAACTAATGTTTTTAATGATATTAATGTCTCTAATTTAGGATAGCATTAGTCTACATTCTTTCCAGCTGTTTTCAATTTAACCACACACAGTATTTAGTTTTTATTTTAAATAAACTAGGGGCATTTTCCCCCCTCATTTATCTTGGTAGTCATTAAGTAATGACTGTAACTCTTATCAATAAAACAAAATGCAATGGCATGATCTCAGTATTAGCTTCTGCTTTAAATTTTGGAGGCAGATATGAAATAAATCATTGTCTCTGACATCTACAGGTCATTCAGCTAATCTTCTAATGATTAGCTTTTAAACAATCACCAAAAAAAAGAAATAGTCTGATCTCTAAAACTCTATGATTTGGAACCAATAATGTAATTATTTAATTACAGAATGCTCCTGTAGACCAGAGATTAACCCACAAATCCCTAAAAAGGGCTTCCAAAATGGGTATTTCCCAGAACTGAAGAGAAAATATTTTATGGCATAGCTGATGAGTGTAGAAGGTCCCAACCACCCAATTAATTAACATATTTCAAACTATTAGTGCAAGATTTAAATAAACTTAAAATGTAACCTTTTCCAAACAAGCGATATTAGTTACAACAGTATGCTATTTAGTTTTTGCTTTTACTTTAACAATCCTGTTCAAATACTTTAATGAATCCTTACATATTTTGAAATAATCTCTATGAAATAAATCAGTGTCAATGAAGGTATGTATAAATTTAAATAATAAAGTGAATTAAAATGTTTTTTGTGTTGAATTCTATTTTGAAGGGTAGCAAATTTTACTATCAGCATTGTGACTGTAATTCAATACTGTTGCTGAATAAAAGGATCACTCTTAATTGTTTTTAAGTCCAGAAAAAAGAATATGTACTTTAACATATTTTATAATCCCCATACAAAAGCACTTTATTCTTCCTCTAACCATTGTGAAAAACAATCTCCCAATATTGGTGTGTCATCATATGTTCTAAACATTTGAGGATTCAAGAGGAAATGAACTGAAATTGCAAAATTAAAAATTGAATTATACATATAACTGCAAGACAGGGACCATATTTGAAAAAAAAAATTACTCTGTATTTAAACTCCATTTGCCTATTTTCCAATCCAGTTCCCCTTAAAAGGAAGCTAGGTAAAGCAAAATCACTGAGGTGAAAATTATGTAATGAAAATAAATATGAATTCAATTTTCCTGTTTATAGCTTTGAGAAAATAACAGCACAACCAACAAATAAAAAACAACAAAGCTAGAAACACCTAAACACGAGCATAGAACTCTAAGTGGAAGCAGCACATTTATGTGGCTGAAAAATAGTTGTTCAATTCTATAAACATAGAATATGATAAGCCTCCGTTAAGTACTACAGTCCACCTCTTAGCAAGTATATAACTTTGGGAATGTTACTAATCCCCTTCTTCCTCATTACTTTATCTATAAAATAGAATATCTACCTCACACAGTTGGTGACTGGACTAAATGAGATAATGTACCAAAAAAAAAGTGTCTAGCACTTAACCATCATGCAACAATTGTTACATCTTCTTCCCTAATATATTGAATTGGACATATAAGACAAAAAACATTAAGATATTTAATAAACAGTATTTTAAATATATATAAGAAAAAATCAATTAGAAATGAAATTGTGTTAGAACCCACATTATCTTGATCCACATCAGGAGTCAGCAAATAGCCAAGAAGCCAAATCCTGCCCACTGTTTGTTATTTTATAACCTGTGAACTAAGATTGATTTTATATTTTTAAATGGCTGGAAACAAATTCAAAGAAGAATAATATTTCATAGCATGTGAAAATTTTATGAAAAACAAATTTCAAACAAATAAAGTTTTATTCAAGCTCAAATGTGCTCATTCATCTACATATTTTCTATGGATACTTTTAAATTACAACAGCAGAGTTGAATAGTTGTAGAAGAGACTATATGGCCTCCAGGGCTTAAAATAATTGCTATCTGGTGCTTTACATAGGAAAAATTTGCTGATCTCTGCTCTAGTTAGGAAGATAGCCTATCTTCTGCCATGACCTATTTTGCTACATTTTAGCAGCACTAATTTTAAGAGACTCACTTTTTGGTTATAGAAAAGTTATTTTAATTATCTGATAATATACTCTACACTTTTAAACAAGCCATTTCCTGTGAGATGAGATGATATTATGAAACTAAGAAAAATGTTTATTGATTGGAGGTACAGCTGAAAACTGGCTTGAGGACAAGATTGGGGAGAAAGACTTTTCACTACATTCATATATAGCTATCAATTATTAATATATGTAAATGTTACTTGTTCAAATATTAAAGAAATATGTTTATTTTTTAAACATGAGGTGATCAAACACTTTAAACAAATCATTTTCTCTAATTAAAAATTGTGTATATGTTTAATTTACAAAAGGAAGAAATATAAAAGAGCATTCATAATTTTAAAATCATGATATAAATGGTTTAACTAAGTCATTTACACTAAGCCATAATCTGCCTAACTTATCTATTAAGAGAATATAGTTTCTAAACTTTACTTTCTGTTTAGTTAGAATTTCTTAGTTACTTTCTATGAATTGACCCAAATATGCATTACTCTCCCACGGACAAAGCCACGAAATGACATCAAGACAAGACATCTTGTCTTTTCAAGACAAGAAAATAGATGAACCTGATAGCACTTATGAATATAAAACTTCAGAAATCACCGATTTGACACTGATTTGACATAGATTTTTATAGAACTCTGATTTGCCAAAAGATAAGATATAAGATGAAAGAGATGGAGCTATATCAGTCTAAGATACATGCAAATGGTTAGAGGAAACCAAACCCAGGACAACTCTCTACAATACTCCCTTCTTACATAATTTCCCTTTTGAGTTCATCAACCTGTTCAAAGAAACAAGAGTTAGGAACAAATAACTCAGTGGAGAAAGAATACTGAACAGTCCCATGGAACTTAGAGATTGGGAGGTAAGTCCATTGTTTCATTCCCTCGACCATTCAACAAAAATATATATATTTATTCAGTGCCTACTATGGGGAAAGTGCCAAGGTTGGCATTGGAGAAGCAGCAATGAAGAAAAAAAGCTATGGTCCTCCTCATGAGGACAAGAAGTAAAAGGTTCTGTTAATGGATGAGAAGGGCTTGAGGAACTGCCAGGACATATTTATGAAACAAGAGTGAAGGAAATCTATGGAAGGAGCATAAAACCTGGCCCAGAGCTCAGAAGTGCTCACTTTGGCGGCACATACACGAAAACTGGAACAATACAGAGGAAGATTTGCATGGCCCCTGTGTAAGTATTACAGAGGCCAGCAGAGACTTCACTGAGAAAAATAATGAAGGAAGAGAGATCAGAGGGTAAGAGTCATCTAGAGAAAAAGTTAGTGGCACATCAAAAGCAGAAAATGTTCAAGCAAAGTGAAAAGCAAAAACACTGTGAGATATTTTACATGAAGTTATAAATAGATAATATAGCTATTTAGCAGATACGAAGGCAAAACACTAATTTTAAATATAGCTGTGGTGGTCTTTAAAGCTGTTGACTTAAAATTCTTCAAGGGAATTCACTAGACCTAAGCTACATGCATAAGAAATTTAGCTCATGATTTAATTTGTAGCTTCCAAACAATTATATTTGATATGTAGATAATTATCCCATCTGTCTCTTGGCAATATCTTAGAGAATTAACATTTTAACATACTGCAATTGTGAGGATTCTAAAATCAGAAGACTAAAGTTTAATCTCAGTAAAATGCCTTGTGTACCTCTCATAGGGTATTATCAGTCAGAAGTCTCTTCCAGTAGAACCACAGAACTATAAATTCTGTCAGATTGAATAGCAAAAATAAAAATCACGTTTACTACCATCTTAATACTCTCAAAAAAAATCTGTGAAGGTAAAAAAATAATGGAAAAGAAAATAATGGGAGATAAAAGGAGTCCAAAAAAATATTAAATTTAACTTTAAAAATTGTACAGTATAATCTTTAACTTGTGATTTATCTTTGAAGAATCATCCCATGTTGGAAAAATAGAAGTCCACTATAATTTTCTGGATGTTTCTTACTGAATAAAGTTTGTAATATTTCATAATTTAAAAATTAGACCCCTTAAATACCTGATAGAATGGCCAAAATAATAAGATTCCAACACCAAAGGCTAGGAGGGTGTGGGAAACTGAATCACTCACACATTGCTGATGGGAATGTAAATGGTACAGCCACTCTGGGAAAGTTTGGCTATTTCTTAAAAAAACTAAACATGCAAATACTATGTAACCCAGCAATTGCACACTTAGGCATTAATGTCAGAAAAATAAAAATTTATGTTCACAAAAAAACCTGCACACAAATGTTCAGAGCAGCTAACCTGTAATAGCTCAAAGCTGGAAACAACCCAGATGTCCTTCAATGAGTGAATGGTTAAATAAACTATGGTACATCTATACCATGGAATACTACTCACTAATAAAAAGAACTATTCATACATGGAATTCAGATGAATCTCTAAAGAAACCTAAATATCCAAGAAAGGTCACTGTATCAAAAACTTATAGTATGCCCACATAAGAGATCACATTGCAAATTTTAAAAATGGGAGAACCTGATGCCCCATTGCAGAACTATCTTCAAGACTTCTTATAAAGTGAAAGAAAAACATACAATACAACTATATAGTCACTATCATTTGTATAAAAAAGAAATATAGAGTCCTCAACATATTTGCTTCTAAATTTATAGAATGTTTCTTGAAGAATATGCAAGAAACAGAAGACCAACTAAACTGATTGCCTATGGAAATGCAAACAGGGTGCAGGGAGAGATAGGAGAGAATTTTCACTTGATTCCTTCTATTCCTGTTTACGTAAGTTTTAAAATTTGAAACTATATAAATGTATTACCTATTTAAAAAATACACACACATATATATATATACATTTCAGACTCTAATAATGCTCTTCCAAAAGTAACAGAAGGGTCTTAATATAAATGTGACTGCAATTAGTAAGGTGAAAAGGGCAATGGGGGAAATTTCAGGTTTAGAAGTTGGAAGTAAATTTGCCTAATATGTCTCTGGTCTGGAAGAGAATTGTTGGGTGTCAGAAATACTCCAATGGCTTGGACATATTCTTTGATATGATTCCATATTCTCACTGAGGAGGCTTTTCATTCTAATTTGTTTTCAGACAGAGTTCACTGGAAAAAGAAAGCCCTGAGCAGCATTAAGGCACACTGGCAGGCTTGGCACTTTCCTGTCTCATTATACATGATCAAATTTGTTTTGTAATACCAATAATGTCTCCTGTGAGACTAAGCAGTGTGATTTTTCTCAGGATGTGAGCAGTTGAGAAAAAACTTTGGAATAATAACTGACTTCAAAAAAGTAAGAATATTGGGTTTAAAACTAGTTTATGAAATGTTTTTCTGGACAAGAGAAAAAAATAATCCTCATTGTTAACAAAGGATTAAAAAAATAATAATAAGACCAGTGGACTTCTCAAAAGCCAGCAGGTTTGAAAAACATAATTTGGTTCAAATGTGTTTATACTTTATCCAGGCATGCAAAGCTACCAGCAAAAGTTACAACTCCTTTGAATTATGAAATATTTCCCACAGCCCTAATTTCAAAAAACAACCATTAAAAAATTGTCCAAGTTTAGATTTTTACTTTCACAAGAGGTTTTTGGAATCAAAAGAGAAGGCCTTGGGCGGTAAGCAGGATATAATTATGTAGTGACTTAAAACTAAAAAGAGAACAAGGAAAGAATAAAACCACCTCTATCCACTTAGCTCCATCTTCACCACCACCATGAAATGAAACACCTGGGTTGAAGAGAAGAGGGAACAGCATCAACAGGGATACAGAAAGGATACAAGGGAGAGTGAGCAGAGGCTGTGACCTTGGGGAGCAAGATCAGGCTAGGGAGATGGCTCAGCATCCACAATAAGAATGCATGATGAGTGACCAAAGATAAACCTGGAAGTAAGACTGCACCCCACTTTTTTATGACTTACTGGCATATAATTCACATAGCATAAAATTTACCTACTTAAAGTACACAATTCAATGGTTTTTAGTATATTAACAGAGCTATACAACCATCACCAAACCTATTTTTAGAACATTTGCAGCCTCCCCAAAACACCCTGTACTCACTCACCCGTTAGCAGTGGCTCTGTATCCCATCCACCCCCCAGCCCTTGGCAACCACTAAACTACTTTGTGTTTTTATAGATTTGCCTATTCTGAATACTTCATATGAATGGCATCATGTTATATGAGATCTTTTGTGACTGGCTCCTTTTACTTAGCATAATGTTTTCAAGGTTCATCCATGTTATAGCTTGTATCAGTACTTAACACCTTTTTATTTCTAAGTAATATTCCTTTGTATGGCTATATCACATTTCACTTATCCATTCATCCATTGATAGGTATATGGTTGTTTCTCTTTGGGGTATATTATAAAGCTGCTACCATAAACACCCATGTACAAGTTTTTGCATGAACATATGTTCCCATTTCTCTTGAGTATATACCAAGGAGGGGGAACTGCTGGGTTATATGGTAAATCTATATGTAACCTTTTGAGAAATGAAATTGCCAGACTGTTTTCCAAAGCAGCTGCACCATTTTACAAGCCCACTGGTAATATACAAGAGTTCTACCTTCTCCACATCCTCATCAACACTTGTTACCGTCTTTATCAACATAAGCATCTTAGTAGGTGTAAAGTAAGTTCTCATTGTTGTTTTGATTTGCATTTCCCTGATGGCTAATGATGCTAAGCATCTTTTCTTGTGCTTACTGGCCAATTGTACATCTCCTGTAGAAAAATATCTATTCAGACCCTTTGCCCATTTTTTTAACTTGGCTGTTTGTCTTTTGATTATTGAGTTGTAAAAGTTGTGCATATATTTTAGATGTAAATATCTACACTATCTGATATATGATTTCAAATATTTTCTTCCATTCTGTAGATTATCTTTTCACTTCATGGATGATGTCCTTTGAAGCACAAAGATTTTTAATTTTGATCAAGTAAATTTATCTATTTTTTTTCTCTTGTCACTTGTACTCTTGGTATCATACCATTTATCTTTATCAGAGAGGAAACTATGTATCTTCTGAGAGAGGAAGCTTATGAGCTACATGTTGGCTTTGGGACATATGTACCTTCTAGGGATAGCAGCCAACAATTTGGTATTTGTATTATCAACAGATGGACACCTTCCCATAACTCTGTGTGTTTTCCAAGTCACCTCTGCCGTGTGGCCACAGTTCAGAATACTCATTAGCTTCCGGAAAAGAATGCTGTTTTTAATTCCCAAAGGATAGTGAGAGTATAGAAGGCAAAACCTCTGCATCAAAATCTAGTGAGTGATTAACTTACTTGTTACAAAAATCTGTGTTACTCTTACTACTGGGTTGAAACAGAAGAAAAACAAAGAACTCTGAGCACACAGAGAGACTTCCTTAAAAAAAGAACAAGTAAAATGAGAAAGAAAAAAAATTTTAATTATTGAAGAAAACTGTACTGAAATAAAACTCAAAGCTGCAGCAACTTATGGCACACTATGGATGTTAAAAAAACTGATAGCAAATAAGACATATTCTAATAAAGTTATTAAACTTCACAGAAAAAGAATTTTGCATATATTCAGTAAATTACAAGGGGGATTGGTGAATTAGAGTGATCTGGTATTTCTTAAAGCAAATAATACCTGAAAACAGTGATATCTACAGTATTAAACAACAAAAGAATTATATATTCATGCAATTTGGCCTTTCAGTAAAATAAATTAAATTAAATTTAAAAACATACCTCCTCAAGCATGCGAGAAGTTATAGAAATCAAATACTCTCCTTAGACTTTCCTGGGGACAGCTGAAAATATTTAATGAAATCCCTATATTTAAGAGATGAATCAAAATAGGGGCACCTGGGTGGTGCACTGGGTTTCTCCTCAAGCCCCATGTAGGGCCCCCAGCTCAGCATGGAGTCTACTTAAGATTCTCCCTCTGCCCCACCCCTCCCCGCTCTTTCTCTCCCCCAAATAAATAAATGAATCTTTAAAAAAAAAAAAGTGAATCACAATAAAAACTCAGGATGGGAGATGCTATGATAAGTACAATGGATAAGTACAACCCTAAATAAAGACATAAACTCAAACAACTATTGAAATTATGACTGTAGAATGAATATTAGAAAAAATATTGTTTTTGAAGAAACAAAATTGGGAGGTGGAAGTGTGAGGCAGTGTGATGATATTTACTTCCCCATCCTTCATTTGACAGATAACAGATGTCTACACTTTAAGCACATCCATCCCA